TTGTTCTGTCCCAGCAGCTCCAGATCTCTCCTAAAATCCTGTCTCGCGCCTTGAAGTGCCGGGATGGGGCAGGGAGGGAGGATGTCAAACTCCCCACCCTGCCCTGCACAGGTCAACCGGGTGCATTTTGCAGGCTGGAGCTGCTGCAGAGGTTGGCAGTGATATTTTGGGAAGAAAACCTTAATTCTGTTTAGCTCCCTTTAGCAAGGGTGGAAGTGCCCTGTAAAAGAGGCTGCCAGGGTTGCAAAGGTTTTATTTTGAACGGGATGGTACTTTGGGTATGGTGAATATGTTGCATAGCTCACTGTAACTTTTTAACCCTCAGGATGCTCAGGACCTGGCTATCATGAATATAAAAACACCTCTGTGGAGGCCCCAGAGGCCAGGAATATTTAGTAGTAGCAGCAGAATTTCCCTCTCTGGGAAAAGGAAAGAGATGGATGGATTCCACTTGATGCCTTTTACAGGACCGCTTCCAGCTTGCGCTGTGTTTCCACATTTTGCAGGATGGGTGGATAGGTTTGGGAGAGGAAAAAACCCTGAGCAAGGACAGGACCTGCACCCACTCCTGCCTCTGCTGCCAAAGCCTGGAATCTCTCAGAGCACCTCTCTGGGTGTTCCTGATCCTCATTATTCCCTCCACATCCTGGGAGTAACATTTGACCTCCCAAAGGCATCACAGGGGTCAACTCTGTGGCTTTTCAGACCCTCCTGAGACCCAATCTGGGGCTCCTGTGTGCTTACAGCACAAAGAAATCCAGCAGAATATTCCTCATTTGGATTTCCTCCCTTCCCAGGGCCCCCACACAGAATTTCAAGTGCAAACACTGCTACTATTATTAATAACTAATTTTTTTCCCCTTTCTCCCCCTTTCCTGCAGCACCTGGCATTCTGATGGCATTAGTAAGGAGGGTTTCATTCTGCACCCTGCCTAAAATGCTGGTCAAACCTGTCCTGTCGGAAGCTCCCACGTTACATAAAGGAGGCTGGGGCCATGTGAAAATGCCACCTCCTAATTACTACCGGATTGGGGTAATTAGTCTGGAAAAACCTCGGGATTACCATTTTTTTTCTTTTTTTTTTTTGGTGTGTATGTGCTCACCTTCCCCTCTCTGCTGCGAGGCTTCACCTGTATCTGGGGCACAGGAAGCAGCAGAGCTCTCCCAGGGCTTTGGGAACAGGGAAATTACGGCGAAAAAGCCGCGAGCGAAAATAGATGGAGCAGACAAAGGGGGGAAGAAAGCTTTGTTCTCCCCCATTTTCATGGATGGGGAACAGTGGCAACAACTCCCATGGGCCAGGCAGAAAATGAGTGGCTGAACCCTATGTGGAACGAGCACCTCTTTAAAAATATCCCTCTTTTTTTTTTTTTTTTTTTTTTTTTGGGTGGATCTGACATCTGGAATTTTATCCCTGCAAAGAGAGGGTTTATTTTTACTCCCCCCCCCCTCCATCTCGCACCCCACCAACCTTCAGGGACATTAAAATATGTGAGAAAGTGCAAATCCTAAATTAGCTCAATATTCACATGTTCCTTAATTATTGATGAAACTCTTGGCTCCCAAGGGAAGTTTTTTGCAGAGAGAGCTGGGGGTTCCCAGCAGAAGATTCCCTCAGTGCTGCAGTTCCCAACTCTGCCCACTGCCCATCCTCCTTGATTCCACCAGGTTTTCCCCAGGGATTGCTACCTGGACCATTTATTTTCTAGGTAAAAAATCCCAGAGCTTTCCCATTATACAAAAAAAGCAGAAAAGCTCCCTTTCCCACCCCTTGAAATGCTAAATTTTTCAGCATTGTGCTGAATAGTTCTGCTCTTACTACTTTTAAAATGCAGTTTAAAGGTTACAAAAATATATATTTTAGTGCCTTTAGGTTAAAAGGAACTAGGAAGAGTTTCCCTCTTACACCTTTAAATTTATGAAGATGGATTAAGATAAAAAAAAATGTATTTGTGTGATTCAGAAGCAGATTTTGACTTGCTGAGAAATGAAGCTTCAATTTGTTTTACAATATTACCACTTCTGCCACCACAAATTATGTATTTGTGCTGCATTTCCCAGTCTTACATCACTAAAAGTTTATTGGTTTATTATTGGACGGAATAGCTACAGAAACAAAAGTCTTGGTTATTGCCCCAAGTTCTCTGAGCTCAGATCCTTCCTGGGGGTTCCTGCCCAGGAGTGAGGGGGAATTAGGAAAGGATGGCTTTGGATGTCCACAATCCTCACCCTGTGTCCAAAACTATTCCCAGATCTTTTTTTCCAGCCAGGTGTGATGCTGGGCAGTGCTTCCAACAGATTTTGTGTGGTTTCCCTCTCTTCTTGGAGCTTCCTTCCTTCTCTTGGTGTTGGCAGGTTCGGAGGTTTTGTGACGTAACTTGTGTCTTTTGAAGGTGGATAATGCAACACCTTCAGTCTCGTGTGTTTAAACAGGAGAAAATTGGTTAATTACACTGATGAATGCAGCTAATTGTCCTTGCTGAGAGCTGAGGAGCTGGAGGCAGAGAGCACTAGGGCAGCTGAAAGGAGAACTGCAGCCATGGGCACGATGCTGAGCTGTCCCCAGACACTCCACAGAGCCACAGAATGGTTTAGGATGGAAAATCCCTCAGAGATCATCGAGTCCAACCATTCCCCAGCACCGCCAAGGCCACCTCTGACCCATGTCCCCAAGTGCCACATCCATGTGGCTTTGAAATCCCTGCCGGGATGGGGACTCCAACACTGCCCTGGGCAGCTCCTTCCAAACAAATTCCTCCTGATGTCCAACCTGAGCCTCTCCAGGCACAATTTGAGGCCGTTCCCTCTCATCCTGTCCCTGTTCCCTGGGAGCAGAGCCTGACCCCCCTGGCTGTCCCCTCCTGTCAGGGAGTTGTGCAGAGCCACAAGGTCCCCCCTGAGCCTCCTTTTCTCCAGGCTGAGCCCCTTTCCAGCTCCCTCAGCCCCTCCTGGTGCTCCAGCCTCTTCCCAGCTCTGTTCCCTTCCCTGGACAGCCTTCAGCCTCTTCAATTCACAAAAGTCACAAAGCAGCTGCATCCCAATGCACTCAAATTCACTTAAACACAAGCACAAGTGGTTCTGAAATATTTAATGGTGTCTTGCATTTAGGCTTTAAAAAACCCTGGTTGTTGCTAAGGGGCACTTGGGGACATGGGTCAGTGGTGGCCTTGGCAGTGCTGAGGGAATGGTTGGACTCTATGGTCTTAGAGGGCTCTTCCAACCTTAATGATTCCATGATTTTACAATTCTACCTCTGCTTTACAGTGGCTGTGTGAAGCATCAGAGGTGGCACATCTTGGGAGGAAATTCAAGGAATTCTGCCTTTTCCACATGTCTGGGCTGTCACTTGAGGTGCTTCAGTGCCATCTCCCATCTTTGGCACCAAGCAAAAATCCACAGACAGACAAAACTCCAAAAGCCCATGAAGTTCACGCAGATTTGGGTCCAACAATGGTACCGGGACTATTTTTCCATGGTCTCTCCTTCCCAGGGTGGTTTGGTGCCTGCAGGTGCTCACAAGCACAATTCAACCTCCATTATTGCTGCTCTAATATTGCACTTGCCAATCACGTCCTTGGCCGTGGATCCCGCAGCGAATTCCAAGCCTGAAAGCCAAGAACAGCCCCATCCCTGCAAAGAATGGAGGAGCTCAGGAGAAACCGGTGTTGGAACGTTCCCAAAGCAAAAAGGAAAATTTCCTCCAGTCACTGCTGACCTGGGGTTACCAAAACTGAAAACATTTTAATATCTGTGCTGCGAGTGCCTTGTTCCCCGTTGTGGAGTGACAGCAGAGCCGGGGATTCTCATTTTCCTTGGTGTCCAGGTAATTTCACTGGGAGCCACCTCATTCTGTGAGGACAATGGATGAATTTATAACAAAAGGCCTCGGAGTTTGAAAGTCTGATTTTCGCGGAAATGAAACCAAGTCGCTCCTTTGTGCTCGCATTCTGCTAATTCCACCATCTGGGCACTGACGTAATTCTTCTTCTTGTGCTTTCTAAAAAAGGCCTTCTTGCCAAACCCAGAGTTGGGTTAAAACAGAACTCAAAACCCACTAGAAGCAAACAAACAAAAAATATATATGTAATTTATTACTCTGAGACGTGTTTCTCTTGTTCCAATCATCCATTTCACTGGACAGTATCTGGTAAGAAGAGCTTTTCACTGAGTAATGTTGACCATAAACACAGAGCAGAGCAGTTAAATCAATTGTTTCTGTCAAATACAAGCAATTTATGATTTATGATTATTTATTTATTATGATTTTCCCCTCCTACAACCACATGCAGAGCTTGGGGCACATTAAAATTCCACATTTCCCCGGGTAAAATGCCGTGTATTTATTGCAGAAATAGAAAAATCTTCCATTGGTAGCTGATACTTCATCTGAGCCAGATTTCAGTGTTGGGTATCCTGAATTTAACAGGAGCAACAGCACAAATTTAAAGGTTTATTCCTGGTTTTATTCTTCCTGTAACTGACACTGGAATGTGGCCAAGCACCCACAAGAACCAGCACACAGAAACACATGAAAATTCACAGAGGGAACAAACAAATAAGCCCAGCAGTATTTGGAGAAGGAAACCTTATTCCTTGAGTAGCACCTTTTTAAACTGATATCCCAGAGAGGCTCTAAAGTTTAGTTGGCTTAAGAGTTAAAAAATAATAATTGGAAACAATCAGGCCTTTGGATTCTAATAAAAATTCCAACTTGTGGTGAGGAAGAAATCAGGAGGGATGCTTCAGTTTAACATAAAACATTATTTTGCTGTCTTCTTTCACAGAGAAGATGATTTTTCCACCTCAAGCATGGAGTTTCCTCCCAGTTTGACAATAACTGATGGTATTTGGTGGTATTTCATTTAAGGAAGCCAGGGACAAGCAGATTATGGTGAATAATAATTGCACAGCCTGAAAAGGAGATGCAACAAGGGTTAAAATCCCTGCCATGTGAAATCCAGGAAAAGGCATCTTGTTCTATATAAGAAGTTAATTTTGCTGCAGTGAATGAGCATGTCCTAAAGGCAGGGGAAAAAAAGGTGCTTTGGAAACCAAGAGATCTTAAAAAACCAGAGTTCAGCTGCAACCAAACCATCCATGTGGTCTGGGCGCTGCAGATGGAGCTTCCTCCACTGCACAATAAAGGCAGCTTAAGGAAATTTTTTTCCCTATTAACATCTGCATCTTGACAATGTTCCTCAGACCGTGTTAAGCAACTTCACTGAGCTGAGACAATATAAAAATGTACCCATTTTCTTCAGCAGAGCAGCCAATGGGATGTTTTAGATTTACACTGATGAAACCCAGCCAGGCCTGGGTGAAATGAGCAACTCATGGATTTGGATTCTGGATTCTGCCAGGACAACTCTCTGGTCTTCAGGGTTGTGCTGTCAGTTTGCTGTGGCCAAAGAAATATCAGAACAGGACACCGGGAAGGGGAATCCTTCCTCCCATTCCACCACTTCCAAGCCCACCCATCTCTCATGACAGCTCTAAATGACATTAAAATGCCAAAATTCAAGCTGAATGTCTCAGATCTCCCACAAAACTGCTTGTGGCAGTGCCCAGTTCCAGCATTCCTTATTTCCAGGCTTACAATGAGAAACAAGCTCTAGTTTGGTTATAAATCCAAATTGCAAGTTTTCAATGTGTGAATGGCAACAGCAATTTGACTGTGCTTTTAAAATCTATTGGTGTCCCAGTTTCAGGAAAAAGCCTTGCTCTATCCAAGGCAGCTTTCTGGATTCCAGAGGTACCAGTGAAGAGACCCTGAGTATTGCCTGGAAATCAAAGATTTAGGTATGGTTACTAAATTATAAGGTAAATACACGTTTCCTTTGGCTTTGGTGTAAAGTTAAAACTCTTTGACAATGGTTTGGAGGCACAGGGAGGTCTTTTTATTTCACCCTTAAGTGCTGACACGTTTTTGAGCAAACTTTTAATCAGAGTAAGCACTTTGGGAAGAAACAACATTCATTTTATATGTAAAAAGAGATGAATGTAAAAATTAAGACACCACTTTTCAAAAATCAATGAAAAAACACAAAACAGCTTTGCAAACCCCCTCCTGCTTCCAAAAGCAGAGCTGGGCTCTCACAAATGAAAACAATTTTAATAAAAAGGTAGTACAAGGGTGGTTTTAATTTTTTTTTTCCTGGATTGAGAAAAACACAGTCAGGTGAAGCAGCAGAAAGTCATTCCCTGCCTTTCACAGTCTTGATGTGTTGATCCTCCATGTGGATCCCTTTTGAACATGGGCTGAAGCTCCTGTTGGCCCATCACCACGTTTTCCCTTGGAAAAGGTGGGTTTAGATAGAGTCTGAGTTTAAATCCAGTCTGAGTTTAAATCCAGTCTGAGTTTAGATCCAGTCTGAGTTTAGATCCAGACTGTTTAGATCCATCTGGAGCTGGAGCAGTGTCCAAACCTGGATTGGTGCTGTGTTTATACAGAGCCTCCTACAACACAGACTCACCACCCCTGAGCCTGAAAGGGTTAAAAGTTCTTGCAGTGCTTCTTTTTCTTTCTGGATGCTCCTTCCCCACACTCCCCTGTCTCCTCTTTTTGCTTTTTGTGCTTCTTCTTGTGGCGTTTCTTCTGCTTTTCCTCCTGCTCCTCTGTGCTGAGTTCCTCCCCCTCAGACATTCCCACAGAAATTTCTCCACTGCCTGTATTCTCATCACAACTGATGTTTTCTCCTTCATTCTCCTCTTTATGTTGCCTCTTTTTTTTCCTTTTGTGACATTCATTCAGTGGATCATCCAGTTCTTTTCCATTCAAGCTCCCTGTCTTAGGCTTTTTCCCTGGTTTCTCACAGTCCTCTGTCCTTTCTGCCTCATCATCTCTCTTCTGCTTCTTCTTTTTCTTTTTGACTTTGGTTTCCAGCTCTTCTGAAGGCTCCACAGCTTCATCAGCTGCTGGGCTGGAATGATCCACCTTTGGTTCTGTTTCCTGCTGGGATCCCTTCAGCTTTGCCATGCGCTTGGCAAAATATTCCTGGACAGTGAGAGCACTCTTCACTGTGTTGGAACCATCTCCAGGGCTGGAGAGACACTTGGTCCTCTCCTCTTCTTGGGAGTCAGGATCAGCAATATCCTCCTGCAAGAGAACAGAGAGGTGCAGGAGTGAGTTAGGAGTCATGGCTGTAAACAAAATGTTGGTATTTTGCACACTATAAGGAAAATACTGGAAAGCAATGTGGAGCTTTGAAAATTAACTGTGAAAGTACAGATTTGGGTGGAAGTGAGGCAGCTCTTAATGTGAAAGATGCTGTAGGTTTAGGGAAAAGAGGTGGAAGGAGGGAAGGTAGCAAGAGAACACAAACCAAGCCAATTTTCAGTTGTTTTGAGTTCCTTAGTTTACCTACTCCTAGGTAACTCATGTCTACCACAGCCATACTCAGTGCGTTACACTGACTTTACAAAGCACATGTCTCTGCAATACATAAACCAGCATGAAAAATGATCCACTGCAATCCATTAGCCTGTGGCATAAAGGAAATCCCATGCCTGGAATAACTCTTCAGCAAAGAACTTGTAATCCAGGGAGCAATCTAGCATTGAGGCATCTCTCCCATCTTATCTGATCTTTGGAAATGTTTGTTTCAGAGCTGCTCTGCTGTCAGGGTGTCCCAGATGTTGTTATTTAAACAGGCTCCATTTGATCACACGTTATCAGATGGCACAAACAACATCACAGGTTACATCTTACAAGGTTTCTGCAGATATGAAATAAAGAGCTGCTCATCTCCAGCTGCAGGTGAAGAGTCTCCTTTCTAGAAAGGAAACATCAAACTAAGAAATACCAAACAAAAAGCAAAGTACAGCTCTGGAGCTGGATGTTATGGATGGCATGAAGAGAATTGACTGAGAAAGCAACAAATGCCACAAGATGGAAATGTATAATTTGTTAAATTATCTGACATTTACAAAAGAAACAAACCAGAAAGGCAGCTGAAATTAAGGCTTGTTCACATACATACCAAAGCACTCAAAACAAAGCCTCTGTGGTATAGCCTTTTGCTTGGCAAAAGTCACAAATGACTCTTGGAAATGTCCCAAATTTTCATAGAATCACAGAATCATTCAGGTTGCAAAAGAGCTCCAAGACTATAGAGTCCAAGCTGTGACTAATCCCCACTTTGTCACCAGCCCAGAGCACTGAGTGCCACATCCAGTCACACCTTGGACACCTCCAGGGGTGGGGACTCCAAACCCCCTTAGGCAGCACTTTCCAATGCCTGACCACCCTTTTCCATGGAGAAATTCCTCCTGAGGTCCAACCTGAACCTCTCCTCCTGTCCCTGTTCCCTGGGAGCAAAGCCTGACGCCCCTGGCTGTCCCCTCCTGTCAGGGAGTTGTGCAGAGCCACAAAATCCCCCCTGAGCCTCCTTTTCTCCAGGCTGAGCCCCTTTCCAGCTCCCTCAGCTCATTAATTGTTTTTTAAAGCCTTGTACAAACCACAGGGAACCAGGTATCCCCTGTGGATGGGAAAAGCTGGGAAGGATCCTCAAAAGCTGATGTAGAATCCTCACCAACATCTGCCCTACAACGCCTTCCTGAAGGAAAGGGGATCCACAGGGATTAGAGTCAGAGATAATTCCCTGATTTTCCATTCATAAATGCACAGATGGGCAAGAGAATCCACTCTGCCCACACATCCTGACTCCTGCCTGCCCAAATCAGAGCAGTCAGATTTCACAGCCACTTTCACTGCCATAACCTGATACTCAGGGAAGGCCAGCAGAGAGCTGGGAGATAAAACCCCACTTATCTCAACACTTTATAGTTACTGCGTGATGCTGCAGATAAGGGACCTGGCTCTCTTGAGGGCATCATTAAACTTGCTGGCTGAAGCTGGGTTTATTAGGGTTTGTGAGTAAGGTTTTCCAGATCTGGCTCCTTATGCATCCATAACCTTTACTCCCAGGAGCAGGAATGCAAAAATTGGTGTCATTAGTGATGCATTACGAGTGGTGATTTCCTCATCCATCTGCTTTCAAGAGAGCTATTCCAGTGGAACGAAAGTAAGGCTACACTTGAGATTCCAGTGATGTTTGTGTGGGCACTTATCAAAATTAGGGACTTTTCTTGTAGGGATATGTTGCAGTGTTCCTGAAGGGTTATGAAGTAACTGAAACTATTTGACTTCTGGCAAAGAAGCCTGAAAAGGGATGTGGAACAGGGGGAAAAACAGGATGTATCCACACAGGTTACCTTTGAAAGGGGAGCTGCAGCAGAAGTTTAACAAGACAGAATTACCAGGATAAATGGGTTGAGCTATATTTATATTAAATTTTTTTAGTAAGACCTAACCCAACAAGCAGAGAATCCCATGTCATCACAGGATCATTTAGCTTGGAAAAGAGCTCAAACACCATCAACTCCATCCTGGGACCATCCCTGTCACCCAGCCCAAAGCACTGAGAGCCACGTACAGGCCTTCCTTGGACACCTTCAGACATGGGGACTCCAAACCTCCCTGGGCAGCCCCTTCCAGTGTTTAACAACTCTTTCCGTGAAGAAATTCCTCCTGATGTCCAGCCTGAACCTCCTCTGATGCAACTTGAGGCTCTTTCCTCTCCTCCTGTCCCTGTTCCCTGGGAGCAGAGCCTGACCCCCCTGGCTGTCCCCTCCTGTCAGGGAGTTGTGCAGAGCCACAAGGTCCCCCCTGAGCCTCCTTTTCCCCCTGAGCCCCTTTCCCAGCTCCCTCAGCCCCTCCTGGTGCTCCAGCCCCTTCCCCAGCTCTGTTCCCTTCCCTGGACACGCTCCAGTCCCTCAGGGTCTCTCTTGCTGGGAGGGTCCCAGAGCTGTGCCCAGCACTGGAGGAGCCCCAGCAGTGCCAGCACAGAGGGACACTCACTTCCCTGGTCCTGCTGAAGCCCAGGCAAGCAGGGTCATTTTCCTTCTCCCCACAGCAGGATTTTGACACCCTGGATTGCAAAAGGACAAACAGACTCACAGGTTTTCAGGCAGAACCGTTTCCCTCCCCACCCCAATGTGTAAAACACACTCGGGCCCAGAACACCCATTGCTCCCTGGCCAACCAGGAAAGGATTTTCTCATTGCCTTGGTGACTTCAAGTCCTGACAACTTAATTACTGTAATTGAAGGCAAATATTACTTGAACTCTACACATTTCTTTCTTTTCATGAAGTACATTAGGCATAAAAACAAATGTTCCTTTGGTTAAGCAGAGGAGTTCCAAAGGTATGTATGAGTTTAGAAAATAAGAACCTTGCTCAGAAACTCCTTTATTGATAAGAATTTTAATAACCACGGGCCACTGAGCATAGAATTAACAGGGCATGGAGACAAGCAAAGAGGTGCCAACCCTAGAAAACCTCTGAGTTTAGGAAAAGCTTATGTAAAACTATAAATCACCTGGAAGGGCTGTTAAATGCCAAGGTATTCCTGCTTCTGTGGTGTACCTGTCCCAGTAGCCATGGGAACACTGCTGAACTCTAACCAGGGGTTTTCTCTAACCCCTCACAGTTTATGTAATTCCTCCCCTGCATGACCCAACACAGAGAAAAACATTAAAAAAAAAAAATAAGGTAGATATCCCTAAAAATGGATTGTGCTGCTGAATATTCTGAAAGACAAAATTTTCACCAGATAAAAAAGACAGAAGAAATATTCTTCCTCCAGAGAACTGATGATCAGGTAAAAGGGAAAGAGCAATTGGGCTGGAACTGGAGGGAAACCTGAAGATTGGGCTTTAGAAATTATGTTTGTCCATGCCATGAGTTCCAAAATTGCCTGAGATGAAGTTAGAAGGAATTGGGAATAGGGAATTGGTAGGATGGTCCCAAGCAAAACAAAAGGACTGCTTGAAACGTGGTATTAAATGTGAAATGAGTAAGAGGAAACAATAGGAAAATTCAAGGAGAGGTTGGGAAGTGCACAGGAAGAGATGAAGGTCAATTACAGGCAGAAGTTCCCTGTAAATATCATCTGTTTATGTAATTAGTGAAATGTATGGAAAATAATCTAAAGGACATAAAGCACTCCATGTACCACCGTGTTTTTCTCTGCCTTTCTTTGCTTGCTGATTAAATCATTAAGGGAGTGCACTGAACTTACAGAGGGAAATCCTGGTTCCCTTGAATCCTTCAGGATCAGGATTGCATTTCTAGGGCATCCCACTCTCAGAGCACCTTTCAGTTACTCAGTGAAAGGAAAAAACAGGGAGTTATGGTCAATTATCAAAGGAATTCACATCAGTGAAAACAAGAGAAGAAGCCTGAAGGGAGAAGGATTTAGACACGTCATGAAATCAAATGGGTTTGAAACCTGGTCTAGTGGAAGGTGTCCATGGCAGAGGTGGGAATGGGATGAGCTTTAAGGTCTATTCCAACCCAAACAATTCTGGGATTATTATAATTAATATTCAAAATTAAGAACTGCACCTGCATGTTACCCTGGGAGGGAAAGTGAGACAGAACTCAAGGGCAAAGCAAAAGGTGCTGGAAACATACAGGAGCAAGAGAAGCAGCCTGGATTAATTCAGAGAAGTTTCCCTCCTCTTCAGAATTCAAGTATTTCCTTTTTGACACTTAAAATCATAAAACAGGGGAATAAAATAATCTCTTATATCATCTCTGTCTGCTACATATGAACTACTATTACTCAAGCCCACTTTGCTTTGCTTTGTTGGTACTAATTCACAATGATTTTGTGAAATCTGATTCACAAAAAAGACACAAAAGGCAAAGTCCAGAAGGGATGAGCAAAAAGGCAGAATAAAGCTAAACTATTTCAGTAGGCTCTCACTTAAATGACAGAAAGTGGGCTGGATGAAGCACATGGAGCCTGAGTTCCATGGGAAACACAGGATCACTCTTAGCTTTAAACTCTGTTCCGCCTTTCTTACCAACTTCCTTGCTGAGAAACTGTAACAATAAGATTAAAATAATCCTGTTCTGTTCCTGCTGCTTCAGATCCTCACCGAGAGGTTGGTAGGACCCTCATGCAGTGCACAAAACTTGAGAGGCAAGAGCTGAGGGCATCCCTGTATCTTTCCATCCCAGGAATGGCTGCAGATGATTCCTGAAGAGTCACTCTGGAGCTTTGCAGACATCAAGGATGACAGAGTCT